GACTGCAAGGAGATCCAACCAGTCCATCCTAAAGGAGATCAGTCCTGGGTGTTCATTGGAAGGACTGATGCTGAAGCTGAAACTCCAATACTTTGGCCACCTCATGTGAAGAGCTGACTCATTGGAAAAGACCCTGATGCTTGGAGGGATTGGGGGTAGGAAGAGAAGGGGACGACAGAGGATGAGATGGCTGGATGGCATCACCGACTCTATGGGCATGAGTTTGAGTAAACTACGGGAGTTGATGATGGACAGGGAGGCCTGGCATGCTGCGATTCATGGGGTCGCAAAGAGTCGGACACGACTGAGTGACTGAACTGAACTGAACAGGCGTCTCATGGGCAGGGACCAGGGATGCTGCTAAACATGTCCCCGTGAATGGGAAAACCTCCCCCAACAAAGAATGATACAGCTCCAAAGGCCAACAGTGCAGCCCCTCCCTAAGAGGAGGAGGCAGCAAAGACACTTCTCTTGCTTTGAAAAAAGGTCAGCTGAGGATCTTCAGTAGCTTCCTGGGGCAAGAAGACTCGGGAATGCGTTTCTGAAGGGAGGAAGAGGTATGTTCATAAGTGGGGGCTGAGTAGCATCCTAAGTTGTGCACTAATCTCTTTAAAATAATTTTATTTATTTATTTATTTTTGGCTGCATTGTTGCTACATGGGCTTTTCCCCAGTTGCCGCAAGGAGGACTACTCTCTAGTTGCGATGCGCGGGCTTCTCCCTGGGGTGGCTTCTCTTCTCGCAGAGCATGGGGCTGTAAGGCCAAGGGCTTCAACAGCTGCAGCACTCAGGCTCAGGAGTTGTGGTGTGGGGGCTTAGTTGCTCCGCAGCATGTGGGATCTTCCTGAATCAGGGATTGAATTTGTGTCTCCTGCATTCGCAGGCAGATTCTTTACCACTGAGCCACCAGGGAAGCCACCTGATCTTAAATTAATCCAACTGTAAAATCCTCTCTTTCCCTGGCCTCGATCACAAAGTTAAGTTTTTTAGAGGTTTATGAAAGTTTAACTTCTGAACCCTGACTTCCTCCACATACATAAAACTTCTTTGTGCCTCTGTAAAGAGATTACAAAATTGTCTTAAAACGGTAATGTTCTTGCCACAGTGATAATAAGCCTGGTGATCTTAAAGCTCTACCAGCTGGGAGACATATGTACGGCTCCAAAAGCATTATCTGTGTATAAAAACCCCTATCTCCCATGCAGCCAATCTGTCTTTCTAAGGGGAAATAGACATTGCCCATCTAGGAAATGGCCTATTTGCTTAGAATGGATTTTCAGTGAGTATAGAGAACTTGACCATCATATCACATCTTCACAGTCACCAAACTAACTTGTTTAGGAAGAGTTGCCTGCTGAGGTCTAGAACACAGAATCGGCATTTGGTGAGAACACAAGTGAGCAGAGAAGGCTCCGCTGCTTGGTATGGAGGGGCCATGTGGCCTTACGGAGCCCTCACCTGGCCCTCTGAAGGACCCCCAACATCCTGAAGATTACCTACTGGTGCTCACAGCCCATTTCACCCATCAAGAAGCTTACAAAGGCTGTAAGAACTCCATCAACATCCTCAAATACCCTCATCCAGTGGTTCTCCAAGTGTGGTTCCCAGACCAACATCAATGTCACCTGTAAACCCCTTAGAAATGCAAGTTCCCAAGCCCTGCTACAGACCCGCAGGGTCAGAACCTCTGGGGGAGGGCCAGGAATCTGTTTCTCACCAGCCGTGCAGATAAGTCTTCGCTAGTGGTAAAGAACTTGCCTGCCAATGCAGGAGACATAAATGATGCAGGTTCAATCCCTGGGTCAGGAAGATCCCCTGGAGGAGGGCATGGCAACTCACTCCAGTATTCTTGCCTGGAGAATCCCATGGACAGAGGAGCCTGGTAGACTACAGTCTATGGGGTTGCACAGAGTTGGACTTAACATGCACAAACGCAGACAAGTCTGATATAGGCTAACATTTGGGAGCCACTAGTCACTGGGAAATGATTAACATGGAGAAAAGAAGAAAAAATTTTACAGTGAGTCCCTATGAAAGAAAAAGCTATACCATATTACACCCTGACACCCAGTATCAGATAATGGGCAGATGTTAACATTCTGTTTTAACATATTTATGATTTATTCTTTACATTGACTTAGACTGCCCATAGTCGTGAACAGCATGGCTTCAGTACAATATAATCCCTGTGTTTTTGACAGGAGAGGTGCATATGTGTACTGGGTAGGGTTTCCATATTGATCGGTCAGTGAGCTCTGGGGGCTGGGCGTGGACCTACTGTAGAATGAAGCCACTTTATAGTTTTGGGTCAATTACACCGATTTTTTCTGTTCCTCAAATTGGTATGTTTGATCCTTACTCTTGCTACTATGATACCTACCCTTTGGCATCTACTGGGACCTTTGAGCCAAGGTGACCAAGGCCTAGATCCTTCAATGCTATTAGTAAAGGGCGAGTATTCCTAAATATTGTAGGGAAAAGATAAGAATGGAACAGACAGGACACAGGGAGAAGGCTGTACTTGTAGGTCATTTAATCTGTCTTTCCTGATAATCTTCAATTTCCTTTCTCTCTCATCTCATCCCTCTACCAGCTGCTCCATTTTTTTTTTTTTCCCCACGTAGTGGGTTGTGCTGAAGCAGGGCTGGAATTGGGAAAAGCCTGAAGAACTGCACTGGGCAAAGGATCTTCATGGCCTCTGTCTTGAACAAAATTACCCTTTAGACAAGCTTGAACCAATACACAACCTACATCTCCCATGGCCCTTTTGATGCAAAATGGTTATTAAATGTCCCAAACAATGGCCAGGCCCATTGATCTTTATCATCTTTCAAGCCACTTCTGGGTCCCAAAGGCCCTGACAATTAACAGCAGGCAAAGCCCACCATTCATTCCACCCATATTCCAAATCAAGGCAACCTCATCCCTCCTCTGGAGCTGATCCTCTCCTGACAGTGCATTGTGGGTTGGAAAGCAGTTGGAGAGTGTTGCTAAGCGATGGCCTCACCTTGAGGTCTCTGTGGACAATACCCATTCTATGGAGATAGTAGACCGCATCCAAGACCTGGCGGATCAGAGTGCTAGCGTCTTTCTCTGTGTAAAATCCTTTCTCCACTATCCGGTCAAACAGCTCTCCACCAGATACACTGTTAAAATAAAAAAGAACAAATCAGTATAAGTTTATTTTTTCTTAATGTTTTGTTTATTTTAAAAAATCTTTATCTCTTTGACTGTACCGGGTCTTAGTTGCATCACACAGGATCTTCAACCTTGTGGCATGTGGGACCTACTTCCCTGACCAGGAATCAAACCTGGGCCCCCTGAATTGGGAGCATGGAGTCTTAGCCATTGGACCACCATGGAAGCCCCAAAATCAGTATACGTTTAAAAAGACATGTTGAATTATTCAGGGAAAACTATCAATAAGACCTTTCAGTATGGTGAAAGACTCAAATTTTAATTCAAAAATAAATCTATTTCCAGATTTAAATGTTGTCTCCTTATTCCCCAGAAGTTATACCAGGGAAGTGTTTCTATGTCATGATGGTACAGATGGTCTAGAAGGAAAGAAAGTGAATAAAAATACACTAGGACCCATGGACTAGGCAGGCCTAAGAAGTCTCTCTTGGCCTTTGCTCCATCCTGCTTGGACAACATTAAGTCAGAATAACCTTCCAGAATCATCAGTGACAGGGAGACAACGCTGGGGAGGAGGCCTCCCTCACAGGAGAGTGTAGCCTTAAAGATCTGGGCGGTGGGAGGGGGTGTTTGTGAGCAAAACAGCAAGCAGCCAACAGGATGTCAGGCTTCCTGACCCAGATCTGCTCTTAAGATGCTGAGAAGATGAAGACTCTGGGAACCTTTGGACTTCAGTCTTTCCATTTATTAAATAAGGGAGTTAATCTAGTCAATCATTCCCTCAGATGCATCAGAACGTCAAAGCCACTTTTGAATTACAAAAAGGTAGAAGAACGACACTCCAGCATATTGTTTCAATTTGGTTTGGGGGAGAAAATATTCCATTTTAATTTGCTTTGAGTTTCAGATCGCATTAACCATTTTTTGGTATTTATCGAAAGGGGGCCTAGATCACCAAAGGTCAAAAGGCCCTGGTGGACAACTTCCAGAGTCCCTTTCAGCTCTGATATTTGATGCTGCTCTGAGTTTCACAAAGTAACAGAACTGCAAAATCCTGAACAGAAACAATTCAACTAACACCTCTGCCTTCAAATTCTTAGACTATAGGATTCTCAAAGAAAAAGTGTTTTGTTAAAATAATTAAGCCATCTTGGAAATTAGCTTCAAGGGATTTATTAGCACTATTTTAATAAAAGAAAAATACATTTCCCAAAAATAAAATGAAAAAGATATATTTGAAATACCAAAATCAGGAAAGTTTCACAAACAACTTTTACATCTTTAAAAGACAGGCCCCAGCAGTAACACACACATACACCAACACATGAAGCTATGATTCATTTTCTGCAAGTCAAGGCAATTAATGTTCAATAACTGAGCCACTGAAATGTTCTTTTTTTAAAGAACTAATAAAACAAAATTGCAGCTATAAAAGGCCTGTGTATGAGTCTCTCTCATTACTTATAATCAGTTTGAGCCACACTGAGCTTGGATAATGTCTCATTTCCAAAGCAAACTGAGCAATCTAGATAAAAGAAGAAAGACACTCAGGAAAAATAAAAAAGCAATTCAAAGAGTGAAAAGCAACAGAAACAACAGGGGAGTAAGTACAGCTGGACAACTGTGCTGTCTAAATGATCCCTCCTTGGGTAAACCCAAATCCCAGGACATTCACATTCCATCTCAGCAACTCACATCAAGTTCTCACCACTCTTCTTTTTTTCTAGACTCTTCTTCCCAGTGAGTTTCAATGCAAAAACTCTGCAGAGTCTAAGACTGTATTACAGGAGATGTATTGCTGCCAGGGGTAGGGTAGACTTGGGTGCATTCACCTGAAGGCAATTCACTTCACCAGATCATTTATTCATCACTCCTTCTACACGTACTGGGCACCCACGAGGTGCCCATCACCCTGTGCAGTTGGTGCCAATCAAGGCGTCGTAAGCGGTGCAGGAGGAAAAGTCCTTCTTGACTGTGGCCCTCCTCACCCCCTACATCGGCTCACCTTCAATAAGGGCGCTGAGCTAGTGTTCTACCACTGGGCTGCTCCTCACACGCTCTGCAAGGTGCCTGAAGGCCTTAGGCAACAATGCTCCCCACCCCTAACCCCACCCTTAGTACCCCGCAACCTGCGATTTGCCAAAACTCTTCCCTCCCTCAAAACTGATCTTTCCTGCTTCCAAGTCTCTCAAAGTCCTCTTCTCTGCAATGGGATGTAAGGTATTAATAGCTATTGAATAATATTTTCTCTGTGATAGTTCAGCAATGCAGGGACTTTCCTAGTGGTCAGTGACTAAGATTTTGTACTCCCAGTGCAGGGGGTCCAGGTTCGATCCCTGGTCAGGGAGCTAGATCCCACACGCCACAACTAAGAATTCATTCACATGCCATAACTAAAAGACTCTGTGTGTCCCAGCACAGATCCCATGTGCCACGACTGAGACCCAGTACAGCCAAATAAGTAAATAAAATTTTAAAAACATGATTTGAAGGATCAGAATTGAAGTGTAAGATACTCCTGTGCTTGGTAGGGTCAGTGTCTCAATTTTCTGCCCATTTTAATATTTCACTTCTTAAATTCCAAATTGTGCCAGTGATTTGTTTTTCTGAACAGTGCTCAGAAAGAATGTGGTTTCCTTAGAAACCAAGGAACAGGGGATAAGTTTTAAAACTTGCCAATAAAAAATGTAACAATACTGATAAAAATACCTTAAAGTTCGTAAGTTTTTATACTTTCCAAAAATCTCCTTCAGCATACATTTCAAAAAGGCCATTCTGACAGGCTGAATGTTCGAGCTCCCTCAATTCATAAGCTGAAGCTCTAAACGCCCACATGATGGTATTTGGGGGTGGGAACTTAGGGAGGTAATTAGATTTAGTTGAGGTCGTGAGAGTGCAGCCCTGATTATGGAATCAGTGTGTTCATGAAAAGAATAAAGGACATCATAAAGACACCGTAAGAAGGCGGCCATCTGTAAGCCAGGAACAGAGTCCTTCAGTTTAGTTCAGTTCAGTCGCTCAGTCGTGTCCGACTCATTGCGACCCCGTGAATCGCAGCATGCCAGGCCTCCCTGTCCATCACCAACTCCTGGAGTTTACTCATGGAATCAAACCAGCACCTTGGTCTTAGACATCCTAGACTTCAGGACCGTGAGAAATACATCTCTGTCCTTTAAGCTGCCCAGTCACTGGTATTCTGTTATGACAGACTGAGCTAAGACACCCAATCATTTTCAAAATCACTTGTGAACAACCAGAACCCCAGAATCACTGGTAAGGAAATAAATTTAGAATTTTACTGAGGGGCATGTCTCATTTTCCGGCTGGCAGGACGCATGAAGGTTGGGGTGGTCAGCTGCTGAGCTGACGGGTGGTTTTCTTGACTCAATATTCTTCTACAGCGAGCTTCCAATGTGCCTGGTTTAAAGGTCCTCATTAGAAATGGAGCTCCTCAAGGAAAACTTGCAAAGCACCGGAATGCAATTAGAAGGATGTTGTCAGGTGATTGGAGAAAAGGAGCAAGACCATAACAAGAGGTCAACAAATAAAATTACTTAACGGCAGCCATGGGAGAGAGACTCAGCTTTAGGGGGATGTAAGTGTACGAGAAAACTGGATACCAAAGACTAAAGGAAAAGAAGACAGGGGATATGGTTTGAAAACTCTCTATCCTCTCGGCTGAACTTAGACATTTATTTAGAACAACTTGTCTTTGCAGTGAACTTGGGTTTGCTCAGTCTCCGACCTCTGTGCCTATTACACTGCACTGCTATCACTATATGAATCTCAGCTATGCAAATACCAATTAGCTGGATGTAATGATCTCAGTGGGCTTCCTGGGAGGCTCAGTGGTAAAGAATCCTCCTGCCAATGTAGGAGACATGGATTCAAGCCCTGGGTCAGGAAGATCCCCTGGAGATGGAAAGGGCAACCCACTCTAGTATTTTGCCTGGGAAATCCTATGAACAGAGGAGCCTGGTGGGCTCCACAGGGTCACAAAAGAATCAGATGTGACTGAGCGACTCAACAACAATGATCTCATAATATTTACTAGCAAAATTTTAAGTAATGCAAATCTCTTCAAATTAAAAAATAGTCAAGAAACACAGTTTCAAAATTGCTGGATCAAGTAAGTAAACTGTAATTTCTGATCCTAGACCATAACATAGTCTGTAATGTACTATACACAGCTTTGTCAGTATACCATACATCCATTGTTAGTATTAGGCAAACTGCCCTGCTTTTTACATGCACTTGAACATCTCCATCTGATTTTGGTAGATTGTTTTTGTTTAGTAGCTAAGTACCATGTCCAAGTCTTTTACAACCCCATGGACTATAGCTCTACCAGGCTCCTCTGTCCATGGGATTTTCCAGACAATAATACTGGCGTGGGTTGCCACGGCCTCCTCCAGGGGATCCTCCTGACCTAGGGATTGAATCCAAGACTCCTGTATCTCCTGTTTAGCAGGCAGATTCTTCACCACTGAGCTACCTGGGAAGCCCCTGATTTTGGTAGATATTATCCCCTTATTTTAAGATTTACCACTAATTATATAGTGTGTTATAAGTTATAACAATATCATCCATACATCCATTCAAAACGTATATTTGTGCTAATGTGGAAAAATAGGCTCCAAAAATCTATTACTCTAGAAGTTAGATTTAATAAAAGATGAAAAAGGCCAATGGAAACCAGAGTATGTCACAATATATGCCTCTTAGACATAAAATTATTTTGAGTTGAAGGCAGTTAAGAAGTAAATGTAGGAAAAAAAAACTCCCCCTTTCCTGTCTAAAGGGAGGAAATAAATTCTCCTTTCACTGGAGACACACTCTGATCAACCCAGAGTGGAACTGGCAAACAAACCGAGTTCAACTAATCCGTGTCACCTTAGTTACGTCTTCATCATTTACTACCCCTATTCCAAACCCCTCTGTATTGTCTGCTGTCCATAAATTAATTGTTTGCCTAAAAGGTATAAAAGCTTTCTGCTCTGGTCACTTA